AGAACAGGAAGGCACCTCCTATCTGCTAAACCCAGTTGGCGCCCATCCTATTGTATTACCATGCTCCCCTCTCCTTAGCAAACCCTAGGGAGCCTTTTTAACCTAATCTTTCCACTCTTAGCAAACCCTAGCCGCCCCTAGGTGTTTAATCTCCACCCTCCACCTCTTTTAATCTCAACCACTCATTTTAGGGCTCTCCTTTATAACTTTTAAACCCTAGAACGCCACATATTCTACTAATCCTCACCTCCAAATCTCAGCCACTCCCTCCATCTTATATCCCAACCATTCAATATAGGGCACCACCTATTCTTTTAATCTTAACCCTTCAACCCTAGATGTTCTAATCTACACCCTCCATTTCTGGGCACCCAAATCTTAGCCCTACATAATATTGGGCGCCCTCTCCTTTTATTTTCAGCCATAGGATCACCTCAAAACCATCTTAGCCATCCATTAGAAACCCTAGGGCGTCCCTAACTTTGCAAAATCCCAGCTGCCGCCCTCCATCTTTCTCCCTATTTCCAGTTGTGTCCATCATTTTCTATAAAAAGGGTCCCAGGGGCCCTGTAGAAGGGGTTGGTCAATTCACCCAGGTAAAAAGGAATGTTGATCTTGAGAAGTTCAAGGGTAGAGGAAGAGGAGGATGCCTAGGCAAGAGGAGGGGTTCCTACTTGCAGTTCGCCAACACCACTACTGCCACCTCTAGATTTGAATCCCAACCATTTTTTCTTCAGTTTTAGAATTATTTTATGTTCTTTAATTTTCAGTTTAATTTTTTTCCTTCCTGCAAATTTATTTCTATTAGATTTAATTTGTGTTTTATTTCTTTTTTGCAGATCTGAAATTCGGCCAGGTAAGACGGAAGGCCTAGCTCGAGAAGTTCGAGTGTCAAAGGAGAGATCCGGAGACTGCTACCTCTGATCGGATTCTCAGACATTTTTATTTCGTTCCTTTAATTTATTTGTTTCTGTTATTTATTTTTATGCACATGTTATTCTCAGTATTATTCAGATTTGGTTTTAATGAATTCCATTTTTTTTTCTTTTTAATTAATTAATTTTATGTTTTTGCAACTCCCCTTTGTGTTCTCTCTCCCGAATCTGAGTACGTAATTATTTTTCCCTTGCTTCCCTATGGATACGACTTGTTTCATCACTTTACTGCGTTAGTAGTTGTTTGAGAATTGGAATAAAATTATAAATGTTTAAACTGGTGTTCCGGAGTGTTTAACGACACGTTTCCAGACACACCAGACACCAAGAGATGGGGCCAGTTTTCCCATCAACTCTGGTCAAGAATACGCCGAACCGGACCCCCGCACCATCTTGTGTATGGCCTCATTCGGTCGACCCTGACATCCGTCCTGCGTACGAACATATGAGGGGTGACATCAATGCCCATGCGAGGCACAAGCAATGAACGCGGATAGCCTATGCCTGCACGGGCCACGGTCATGTCCCCTCGGCCTAAGATGGTCCTTCACTAACGCAAAGGGTGAAGAGAGGAGCAATTACCACACAATCCATTGAGAAGAGCTCTACAGTCGAAGGCGAAGCCAAGGCCTCAACGCAACCCGCCATCTAACCTCAGTCGCTACGACCTCAAGAGTGGGGGACAAATGATGTAGGGGCATCCGGCTGACCTACAGATCTCAACACGTGGCGTCGGCCAGGCACATCCTGACCACCCATCACCAACCGCTTCGACCTCCCAACTACTACTCCTCTCAAGCAACTGCAACTATAAAAATGGCTCCCACATTGAAGTAAAGACACGCTAGAACTTAAGCTTTAAATCTCATCTCTTGCTTGGTCCAACTCCTCACAACTCTCGACTAACTTGATCGTTGGAATCTTCGCCCCTAGGATACCTTCCGGGGCTTCTGATATCTTCTTTCTCTCAACAAGTTAAACCTATCAGCTTCAAACACTAAAAATTACATTATTGTCTTCAGCTCCACATTTGACAGCAACAATCAAGACCCAGGACCAATATTGGGTGATGGCCTAGATGTTCCTACGTATGTGGGTGTTGGGAGAGTGGTTCCATGTATATATAGCATAGAAAATTCATTGCATCATTATGTATAGTCTAATCATGGATACTTCCAACTGTCCAACATTTGCATTAAAGGGACTGGTGCCATTATATGGGTAGCTTTTAACAATTTGATTTGGCCTTACATGGAATAAATGTCAATACAAGGTGGGGTATAGGTGTTAAGTGGCTTCCAATTTTACTTGTTAATGATACCCTCTTGAGGGACCTCGATAAAGATCGGAAGAATTGAGCTCTCAGTTTTATAGCAAGCTTCCAATACAAAAATAAATTAAATACAAGGTGGGCCACCGCCATCTTCAGGGAAATACATGAATCCAAACAAATATTGATAGTATGATTGATACCCAATACGGAATGATCCGGGGATGATGGCCCACCAATCAATTATTATTGTTTTAGACATAATAACGATACTTAATATTGTTCAAGTCGTTGAGCGCCTGTAGCTCAGTGGATAAAACATTTATTTCCTAAGCAGACAGTCGTTAGTTCGACCCTTATGTTATTAAAGACTTTTTATTTATTCTAGATTTTATTAGTTTTTTGTTTTCTTTTTATTTTTCCCCTTATTCTTCGTCTGTCTTCATCATTCATAGAAACAAGTTTGTCTCCGATCTCATATGATGTTTTCTTCCTTCATCTCTCTTGCTTTCTCTACGTTACCGAAGGCTTATTATTTGTTATAGATTTTATTAGTTTTTTGTTTTCTTTTTATTTTTCCCCTTATTCTCCGTCTGTCTTCATCATTCATAGAATCAGGTTTTTCTCCATAGATTGTTAAAGTTGAAACAATATATTTTCTCCTTTCTCTATAGTTCATTCAAAGGGAATGAGAGTGTTGGATTGTTTGGTTTCAAGAATTAGGTTTAATCCATCGAATTCGAATTAACCAAATATTTGATTATCTAAGTCAAATTCGAATTCAGTTTTTACTTTTGAGTATCCGTCAAACATCTAACCGAATTCGAATCATTAGTTTTGTAATCGAATTCGAATTCGAAAATAACATAATCCGATTCGAATTCGCTCCGTTTACAGGCCTATTTAGTATTTGTATTCAGTTTTTTCATTGTTCTTATGGCTCTGTGACTGAGCTTTGAGCAACAAAGGAGTCCAACTTTTTCCTAGTTCCACCCAATCGAGAAATCATATAATTGAACACACTTTCACTGGTACGTATCTCACTCGGACCAAACAGAGATTCTTTTGGGGGGCCTTCTGCGATCAGGATTGACAGGAATTTGCTTTGGTGGGGGTCAAAAAGGCAGTGCTTTCCATATCTTCAATCTTTATTTCATTCTTTCTTGCTTCGTTAACAAGATAATATCATTTGATTGACATTAAGAAGTTAAACGGCCCTTCTAAATTACAAGCAAAGCCATTAACCATCTGCGTGAAGAAGAGATGCATCGCCGTTGGAAAGTAGTTAAAAGGCTAACTCCCTTTCGGAGCTCAGAGGCTAGATGAGGTGTGCATGTGCAACATGGTGGATCTTGGAATCCTAGGCGCATTTTGTCCTTCTGTAGTACACTCTTCTTAACATGTTAATGAACTGTGGGAAGATTCAACTCAATCGGATATCGACATCATAAAGCATGGAGAGAGAGGATCTTCGTTGGGATATTCAGTAAAGGAGGCTTTTTTCTCCAATTTTTTTTTTTTTTTTAATGCGGGAGTTGGGGACCTTGAGTTGAGATCATGGACTCTGACTTTAGAGGGGTGGGTGTGTGCCTCAAGAAAGACTTTTTCAAACCCTAATCATTTTGCCATGGCTATCATCTTTTACTTGGGCAAAAGAGAAGCTGGTGGACCAGAGAAGAGTTTTGCTTTTGAATGATTGAACAACTCTTCCCTTTTCTGCACTCATTATGTTCACTAAAATGACCATAACCCTTAATTGCGTTACTTTTAACAATAATGATGATACTGCAGGAATTTTGAAAGACACGTAGCAGATGAGTAGATCTAACTAAGTGAGGAGCCCTGTTATTCAACCAACCATACCCACCAATCTGGTGTAAGGAAAGTTGGTAAGGTATTATGGGGAGGTTCTTCTTCTTCCCACTTCTCAAGGGTCGAATTCCATTTGGGTTTGGTTTGTCCCAGTTCACACCCCTTCTTTGCCTCTTCGCTCACCGAGAGGGCACAACCACACTTGCGATGCCCCAAATGGGACCAAACAGATTTACCAAAAGAGAATAAAAAAAAATTGGGACCAACCAGGTTTACCCAAAAAGAAAAAAATAAATAAATAAAGGTGGGGGGATCAAGCAAAGGGACAAAATGCAATAATACAACAGAAAGGGACCCTGAGTGGTTCCTACTTCCAAAGTTCCAAGTTCCATTCGTGGAGTTTTCAACTTTGACGACCAACAGCACCAAAATAGGATCCAAACCACTCGTATGAGAGAACCATCCGATGGCCCAAAACCATCATATGCTTATCTTGTACCATCTTGGTTCTCTAAATCAGATGGCTAACATTCACTTTCAAGCCGTGGTCCCCAGATGAAGTGGTATTTAAACTCGGAGCGAAGAGGGAGGATAGGGGCGGGAAAGTATGCCGCGATTGAGTGTTCCAAAAAATTATCGTTTTGGGGCCTAGCACCAATGTCATATATGATGTATCAGGCATGGTTTTCACAATCAGACCGGACCAGACGGTTGGACCAAAAAATTCGGAAACCGGTCACCTCGTTTTACCCCAAAACCATTATTTTGGCCAAAAACTGTTGGTTTGGTCAGAGTGGTCAAAACATCCTATGATTTTTGGCCTTTTTTTAATTTTTTTTGTTAGAATGGGCTGTCCGTTCAGTTCAAATGATCGGCCCATTTAACCAGAGAACCGGACCCTGAACGGTTTGTTGTCCAGTTCAGTTTTAAAAACCTTGGTATGAGGCATGTCGATTGGTACCGAAATAATGGAGACTTGAGTATCTTGCCACAAAAACCGACCACCTAATGCAGCTAACCGAGTTCCTGTCCAAGAATAAAAGGAAAAAGAGAAAGACAAGAGAAAAGAAAACCCACCCTACACAAAATTGGGTTTTCTTAGAAGTTGACATTTGAGTTGATGGAATTACCAGGTTCCCTAAGATAAATATGATCTGTTCTTTTTTTTCGATCAATTACAAAATCTGGTATCTTATATCTAACAAATCCTGACATCCACTAAAGATTCCAAGCCATATGCTCTCCAATCTTGGCAAGGATGAAAGAACGATCACTGATATGGTCAATTACGACCACCAACACCTTACCTTTTTCCTTGGACCTACATAACTCGAAATCTTCACCTTCACATCTCCAAATATGAGCTTACATGGAGCTCCATTCAATTTTTCGATCATAGGATGACTACCCATTCCTGATCTAAAATAAGATCCAGAATTAGTAACAGGTAGAACTCATAAATATCAGCTACAGAAAAGTAACTGGTTAAAGGAAAGATCTTACAAAACAGATAATGACGAAGTAAATTTGGATACAAGATTCACCCCAAGTCAGCATTTGTTTAGGCTCAGTTCGGTAGTACAAATACAAATATGTAGTGTAAAACTTTGCATTTTTATATTATTTTTTATGTATTTGTACTGTACTTATTTGTATTTGTACTCTTACAAAACTGAGACTTAGGCTGTGTTTGGTTGCTGTGCAATTTTAGTTGCACTAGTACAAATACATGAGAATGCAAATTCTGGTTTAATTTTGTTTTAGGTGTTACTTTATTTTGCTCCAAGTCTTGCTTTACTACATTTGTACTGCAATCAAACAAAATAAGGTAAAATGTGAAATAAAAATAAATCATAATTTGCACTAAAATCATTTGCATTGACATGGTTTTGCATCAGTGCAAATAAATTTGCTTTGCAACCAAACACAGCCTTAAGGAAAAACTGATTTTCATTGTTCAAATGCTATAGTACACTAACATTTGCCAAAAATACATGTCCAATGTCCTTACACTATGTTCCCACATATATGAGCCTACTTATGCTCGCATTTATGAACCTGTAGTAATATAGGGAAGCATGCAGCCTAACCAAAAAGGGCAGCATACCATGTTGGGCACAGGAAAAATAATTCAATCGGACCAGACTGGAAGTCTTCAGACTAGAAAAGTTCTCTCCAAAAACAGAACAAGATGAGGCAGCTATAGAGGTGAAGTAGAAGTCCCAAATCAGTGAAGCTTCGGACCCAGCAATTGCTTGGTGGAATTCCATATAAGAGCAAAACCTTATTGAAGACAGGGAAAGATTAACACGTAGCTTCAAATGAAGAGTCAACCAAGGTCCAAATGCATGCAAATTGACTACCTTCAGCATTCAAAGATGGTGAAGAAGAAAAATGAAGAATATATGGATGCTTCATATAAATTTTATCGCTCAACCACCAGAACTGATTGCTGCCGGGGAGAAAATTCCTAAACCATTTACTCGAGTAGCAGATAAAGCTAGTCTGCTCAAATCTTATTGGCTTAGGAGGCTTCTCTAGAGCCAAAACTTAGTCGACAAGTCACCTATCCAAAAAAAACTAGGGGTCTTTTTGGTTCGTGGGAATCCCATTACCATTCCTGGTGGAATGGTATTCCCACATTTGAGGGAGTGATCATTCCCTCCCCCCCTCAGAATCCATTCCAGCCATTTCTAATTCTGATTCCCATATGAACCACACAGGCAGGAGGAATAGACCATTGCAATTCGGAGGGATTTTGACTCCAATTCCAATTCCGATGGCAAATCAAAAGGACCCCAAGTGAAACAAAAAATCCTTCATGAGTCAATCTTGGTGATGATACTAAAAAAAAAAAATACAATTATGTTTGTTGTTTTTATTCATGTAACAAGTTTCAGAGAAAACGCCCTTGCTACTTGGAAATTTAGGCCTTCATTATTTTTCAGTAGAGTCCAGACTGCAACCGGTTTATCCCTTATAACAGAACTTCTTGCTACAACTTCCCAATTTTGCCATAAATCATCAAAAGAGGAGTCTGAGAAAAGGTCTAACGATGTAGTCCAATGTATAGCCCTATTTACAACACATTCCCACATTGCCTCCTCATTTCTTTACAAATTATTGAAAATTCTGTTGTTTCTTTCTTCCCATACTGTCCAAATCAATGCAGTCCAAGCACATCTCCACGTGATTTTACCTCTTCTCTGCAACCAGCTAAAGATCGTAGGGTCAAAGAGACTACCAATCTGTGGGAGAATACTCCACCTATTACCAAAAAGACCAAAAATCTTTTCTAGATACCTACAACAAGAGGGCGGGATACTAGAAAGTGGTAACAACTTTCTTTTTGTTAGTTTTGTGTCTTTGGGAGCCTTGCTGTTGTGGTAGTGGGCTCGGGTGTTATCTTAACACCCCTATTAGTGTTGTAATCTGCTTTTTATTTTATCAATAAATTTTTCTTTTACTTTTCAAAAAACAACTTTCTCCATTTGATTTGCAAAGGGTACACCAACATGGGGAGATACACAGATTGTCTTCTTTTCTGCAAGACATCCAAATTATTAATTTTTCCATGAAAGACTTCCCAACATAAAGCCCCAACCTTGGGAGAATGGGTTTTGACCAAATTTCTTTCACAGGACAAGAAAAGATKCACAAGAGAAAACTTCCTTAAGATGGGGAGTCCAAAAGTCCAACCCAACAGTCTGGCTTAGAAAAATCCAGAAAAACAGAATAAAGAATTTGTAGGAGTGAGATTGCCTTGACAAGCTCATGATCTCTCACATCTCTCCTTAGGCTGCATTTGGCATTCCTTTTTTTTTTTTTTTTTTGCTGTTAAAAAGGAGACAAGTCCTTAAAATAAGGAATGCCAAATGCAGCCTTAGGCCCAAGTTCCAACTGACCCCAGTCAAACACAAACCAGTGGATAGGTTCATTTTTTTAACAAAGAAAGAGAGTACAAAGAAGGAAAGGGATCTTTAAAGGTTGAGTTGCCTATCCAAGGTTCTCCCAAAAGAGAACTTTATCTCCATAGCAAAACCATCACACCTGACAAGGCTTAAAAACCAAGGAAGCACTCCACATATGGACTTACAAGGAAAAGCCAAAATAGCCCTCGAAGATACCCCAATGTCCCAGCCATTGCCTGCACTTCCATGAATATTGCCAACAACCTCTTGCCAAAGTCTCCCCCACTCCAAAGGCCATCTATAAAATCAAATATTTTATAGATCTTAGAAAATCCAGTGTTTCTCAAGTAAATTACTGCATGTATTAGCTCATTTGATCCATCAAATTACTCCATGTTTAGTACCAACTCCAAATGTACGAAGGTATTGACTCCATCTTCAAGAGATGACTCCTAGAGAAACTAGTTGTGTTGATTCTGTTAGGACCTATCCTCTGTTGATAGCAGGTACTGTATTTCTTGGTTAAATTTTGGTTTACTGAATATCTGTTATTATTTCTATTGTTCTTTCTTTCTCCATTGCCGAATCATTATCTCCAATCCTTGTTAATTTTCTTGATCACTCACTGTTCCTTTATTTATTTGTTGTTCCAGTTTTAAATTTCTATAGTCCTCGAACAACTCATTGTATATTTATTTCCCTTTTCTTTCTTAATTGTTTTTTATATGTCTTTTCTTTCTTAATTGTTTTTTATGTCTTTTCTTTCTTAATTGTTGAAACCACTTTAAAGTTCAAAGAAACCATTCTGTTGGGTACACATAAGCAAAGTGTCAAAAACAAAGCAATCTGAGTTTTCAGCTTGATATAGATCATTCCGCTATTTCCCCTTTATTCACCCTTATTTTTACTCCTTTAGGCCAATTTGCTTATGACATACAACCTTTGCAATTTCAGCCTTAAACTCATCTTTAACTTACGCAACAGCTCTTGTTTCCCTTAGCATTTCAATTTTAGAGAAGATCAATCCAGCCGACTACTATTGATTATTGTATGGACTTGTCATATAAACTCCCTAGAAAGATGGTCTCACTGCAGCCTGCAGGAGGTGCAGGGAGAGCAAATTCGTATTGGATAGAAAGACGTAACTGAGAAGGTGCCAGATTTGCCTCCCATCTAAATACAATCAATCATACTGAGATGTATATAGCAGCCACTAAGAGCTTCCAACAGCTACTTACAAGAGTACATCCCAATCATTCACATTATGTCAAAAGCATTGTGTACCCATACTATGCTGCCACCCACTACTTTGTCATAGTCTTGAATTGTGGCATCTCTATTCAAAGCAATGTTAAAGAAGGCTGTATGCACTACCTTTAATGGTGTATCTCCACACCAAACATCCTTCCAAAAGTGAATGTGATTCCCAAAACCTGATTTACTAATAGAGTTCATCCATGGTAGTACTTCCATACTAAGAAATCACCTTCTATGATGAGATCGTAATAATTATTAATAGTGTTCATCCATGGTAGTACTTCCATACTAAGAAATCACCTTCCATGCTGTATACACTACCTTTTGAAATATTGACGCTTTTTTTTTGTTTTTTGTGCCTAGCGGCCGGACCCCGTGCCACACCCCTCGAGGCAAGCCCAAACAAGTCCACGCTAGGTCTTAAATTCTTAGTTCTCACACAAAAAAATAATGATTTTATAGTTTTAATTGCTTTTTAAGAAGATATTTTATTAGGATGAATGAATGAACAACATTACCAAATAGGGGGTTCTCGAAGCTCTGGTACTATGAATTTGAGACTTAACGTGGACTTGTTTGGGCTTGCCTCAAGGGGTGTGGCACAAAGGCAGCTCGTAGAATCAGGAATGTAATATGTTTTACACCACATTAGCTACTTGAAGTGATGCAATTGAGAAAAAAAAAGAGATAGTGGGTTTTATATGCTTGAAAATGTTTTATATATTTGATTTTATTTTTAAATTCTCATTTGAATATGGTTTGCATGTTATATTTATGTATTTTAATTTTAGATAATAGGTTTTTCAAAACATTTATTTTAAAATTTAAGTTAATATTTTTATTAATATTATGTTTAACAATGTTTTGGTTTTTTTGCATTTTTTTTTATTTTTTGGCATTTTTTGATTTTTTTTATATTTTTATTTTTTAGCTTTTTTATTTTTTGCACGTTGCTTAAAAAGGTGTGTGCCTTGCCTTGCGCCTCAGGCGCAATTTGATCACTACACCTTTTTTGCGACTTGTGCTTTTAAAACACTAGTTGCTCCTGAGAAGCATTGCAAAAGAAAACTGAGCCATCTGCAAACTGTAGCAAGGGAATCTCTAATATGTTCTCTCGCACCGTAAAACCCTCCAAAAAACCACCTAATACTACTCTCAAAGTCAATTTTCCCAAAACATCCATCATAGAGAAATAGCAAGGGAAACAAGGGATCGCCTTGTCTTAGACCCCTTGAACTCCTGAAATGACCACAGACCATGCCATTAACCAAAATGGAGAATGAAGGAGTTGTAACACACACCTTCATCCAATTGATCCACTTGGAGCTGAAATTCATCCTCCTTAATATATAATCCAGGAAACCCCAATTTACTTGACCGTAGGCTTTTTCAAGATCCATTTACACAACAGTTCAGCTCTTTCACTCCTAATCCGGGAGTCAATTAGTTTGTTTGTTGTTAGAACTCCATCCGCTAGTTGTCTTCCCTCAACAAAAGCACCCTGGAACTCTGAAATAACATAACCCATGACTGTTTCAATCTTTTTGCTAGCACTTTGTATAAAATTTTATAAACACTACCAATAAGAATGATCGGCCTGAAATCCTTAAGTTCCTCAGCCCCTTTTTTCTTAGGAATTAAAGAGATAAAAGTAGAGTTTAGACTTCTTTCTAAAGCAAATGAAGAATAAACTCTGAGAAGACTGCCATTGTATCCCTTTTAGAAAAAAAAAAAAAAAGACCCAGCATTTTTTGAAAAACTTTATCGTAAAGCCGTCTAGGCCAGGGGCTTTATCCCCTTCCATTTCATTTATTGCTTCCCACACTTCCTGTTCTGTGAAAACCCTTTCTAAATTTCTCGTCTGTTCTTCGAACAAACCGCTGAATTCTAACCCATCTACCTTAGGCCTTCTCTTCAATACTTCCTTATAAAGCTTTGAAAAGTAACATTCTACTACCTCTTTAATTTTTTCTTCTTCCACCACTTCCCCTTCTATGACCATCTTCTTTATCATATTTTCTCTTCGTCTAGCATTTGCCATTTTGTGAAAAAAATCTGGTATTTTTATCACCTTCCCTCGGCCATTTGGCCTCTACCACCACTTCATTTCCACTC